TAGTGTTTATTTATCTCGTGAATGAGCCGAGGTTAGATTGAATAAGAAGAAGATATAATGAGAGTGTTTTGCACTTGCTAGATTATGGAAATGATGACGAATGGAACGAAAAAGTTATACGGATGGCTGCTTAACGGTTTGGTAAGGAAGCTGATGAAACTTTTGGCTTATCAATTCAGAGCGAATAGGAATACGTTCAGTAGAGGGAACGTAATGATGAGAAGAGAGCGTGGTTATGTAATGAATTTAAGCATAATGAATGATATTGTGTCAATACACGTTCATAGGTTAGTTAGTTAGTACGTTCACACAGCAACAATCTTTTCATAATTTTTATAGCGTTTCTAACTTCACGACCACCCACGATGAGTGTGAGAAAAAGGATATTGGCTAGATGCAGCAGCATGAGTGAGGTGAGCAGCTTAGAACGTGGTATGTTGAGAGTTTTGCAAACTGACTGATTGCTTTTGTAGAGCGACTTGGAAGGAATACCACATGCATAGGATTAGTAATCTAGGGGATTATCGAGCAGTTTGTATGGATTTATGAACATGTTTGTGACTTGAACGGAGGATGGTGTGCGTGCTTAAGGAAACGAATTAATGCTCGAACTATGCAATAATGCTGACCGAAGAGTGTATTTTGCAGAGCTGATCGCTTGAAGTTCGTTGGTATGAGCACGGGTGATGGAAGCTGTATCGATTAATTTGATTATTACTATGAGAATATGATGTGAGGACTGAACGGAGAGCATGCATCATAAATCAATTGCGAATGAATAATAAATGAACGAGTATTGCGATCAATAGGAAGAGTTACGAATGAACAATACGATTGAATGTTACGAATTAGTTGTTCATGTTGATGTAATTTGAATGGAAGGAGGTGAGGTGAGGTGAGGTGAGGTGATCTGGCGGTATGAGTCTGAAGAAAAGGGCAACTATGCATGAAAATTAAGTGAAAGATTTTGGAATGCTTTAGAGTAGGTTTGAGTGACGTAGAAGAGAATGCAAACAAAAGGAAGGCAAGCGCTGATAAATAATAAAGCACGTTGCGAGCTAGCGAGCACAAACAATATCTGGTGGCGATCAATGAACAATGTGGTACTATCGGTAGTGAATGTAGAAAGGTGAGTAGAAATGCCCCTGGAAGAAGATCAGATGCTCATGATGGAATCCGATTGACTTTAGAAGTGTAGTGGATGGATGATAAATGAAGAAAGGTTAAATGCCGAATGCCGGCTGCGAGCACGCACAGTTCAATTGAAGTAGTAGTAGTAGTAATAAGGATGGATCGTTGATATGTTGAGCTGATAGTAAGGATTCGATTCGCACTGATAGAGGGAGAGTTAGCAGCAGCAGCAGCTGTACTCGATTATATGCATTCAATAATCCAGCTAGCATCGCATCAGCAAGCAGACAGACATTAACCTATCAGTAGTGGCTGTCTATATGCGTTGAAATTATGATCTGTTGAAAGGTATTAATTATCTTTAGCGACATTGCATACTGTTCTCGAACATTAGAGTTGTTGCTTGAAACAACACTAGCAGCACCATCAATAGACGTGAGCACCTCTTAATTGTTAATTTCAGATAGCAGTTTCAGTTGCTTTTTATGAAATGAAGCAATTAATGAGTGAGGTAATCATTAAGGTGACATTAAGTTTACTAATATAATTGGATAGAGGTGATTAGAACATGAATACGGAAGGGTTGATGTTACTTAGAAGCTTACTAATGACTGATGCAGTTTGACTGCGGGCAGCATTTGGAAAAAATGGAATGCTGATTTGTTTTGAAGTGTATTATTGATGTTGGCATTTGTATTTGTGTGAGTGCGTGCGTGCATGCTTCTGGATATTGTAGGAATAGGATTCGAT